CTCATGGCACAGGGATACCGGATCGGTTCTTTGTGGCTGCCTGGAGGGGTGGGATAGGGAGGGTGGGAGGGAGGGAGTCAAAGAGGGAAGAGATATGGGAACATATATATATGTATAACTGACTCACTCTGTTATAAAGCAGAAACTAACACACCATTGTAAAGCAATTATACCCCAATAAAGATGTTAAAAAAAAAAAAAAAAAAAAGAACAACAGAGAAAATCATGAATGTTCTGTATATATGCATCATTGGAAATATAATATTCAGAAAAGAATGTAACTTGTAGGAAAGTATATACATATTCATGATGTATTACAAAGAGGGTTATTTCACTAGTCTAGAATGCTGGTGCATTTTCTTTTAGGCTACTAGGGAAATGTTAGATTCCAAGATATGACCACAGGGTGGTGTAGTTGCTATTCTCAGTCCTTTTGGGTAAGAAAAATTTGTCCATGAAAGCAGTTACATTTTGGAGATTTTGAGGATGACTCCTGATGAGTCCAGAGAGCAGAAGAAAATTTGCTTTCATCAAAATTGTGTTATCAGCTATGATATAGAAATATTTATGGAAAAGGATATAGAAATGCAACTCTGTGGAAAAAATGCTGCCAAAATTCATACCTATTGGAAAAAGTATAATGAAGTGAGATCACTAGAACTGGGCAAGAACCTTCAAATTACCTCATTTAGCTCCTTTTTAAAAATTTATATTTTATTTTTTAATTGAGGTATAGTTTCCTTACAGTATTATATAAGTTTCAGGTATACAACATAGAGATTCACAATTTTTAAAGGTTATACTCCATTTATAGTTATTATAAAATATTGGGTATATTCTCTGTGCTGTACAATATATCCTTGTAGCTTATTTATTTTATACATAGTAGTTTGTGCCTTCTAATCAGCTACCTTTATCTTGCCCTGAAAATTTTCCTGAAAATTTCTCTAGTTCTTTACTTTCATAATTTTTCTTCTCTATTTTTTTTTTTTTTTGGAGGGGAATGAAGCTGGTGGATAGGAAAAGCTGATATTTTTATAGATGATAGAGGCAATATGAAAGCATAAAAGAGAATGCCCTTTGGCTGTTAGGCTGTTGGAATGAACCTCAGATTAAGATTTTTTTGCCACCAGGAATAGAGATTTTTCTCTGGAGAATTCTCAACTTTTGGTCAAATAGGGAGTTGAGATGTCTTACTTGTTTTCATAGCAGCTCTGTGAAGACAAAGAGGGGCAGATACCACTTTCATCTTAAATGGGAAAATAAAGTGACAAAGAAGATAAGTGAAATTTATTCAAAGTTATCTAATCAATACTAAATTTGGGGGTAAATTCTAGTTTATTTCAGTGATATTTCTTCTAGTTGTTGTACTTTAATTAAAATGACATTTAATGCTGACTTTATTCATTTTTGTCATTCAATATAGAAAACACGGACATCTTTATTGGAAACACCTGAAACTAGTTGTTGGAAACTTGATTCTAAAGCAGCTCCTTCACAAAATAAATCTGGAAACTTCCCATCAGCTGATCACGGCAAATCAAAAGATAAAAGAGACTGCCTGTGGACATCTGCCAAAAATACTTTATCTACACCATTACCAAAGGTTTGTTGCTAAAATTTCTAAGAAAGTAGTCATTTTTTTAATAAAAAAGAAGTCTCTGTTATCACATACCATATATCTGGTATCACACACACAGACATGAAACCATTTTCTTTAAAGTTTCAATTATTTGTTATACCAGCACGAAATGGTTTCATTTTTTTTAATCTATCACTGTTCACAACTTAATGACATCTTGGGCAAATTTTATCACTTTCTGGCATTCACCAGTGCATAGGACCCTGATGTACAAAATCTGGTTTTGACTTGCATTTTCCAGTATGACCTCAGTTACCTCCCTTTGCTGTTTACTCCTCATCATCTTGCTGCTGGAGTCTTTTACTTAGCAGTCAGCCCTGTGGAGCAGGCACCACTAACAAGGTGGCTCATTGCTAGCTATCTTCGACATGTCCACTTAATCCATGGGGAATTCATTCAACCTTTCAATGCTAAATGGTGGTGCATAATGCTCTACTTCTTACTCCCCCTTTCCTGCTCTCTGCCATCTATCTCTCTCTAATTTCTTTTTACTTTGCTCAGGAAGACACAAAGATAAACAAATTTTCTGCCTAGGTTTATATTCACTTAGGGAATGAGATGCCAGTATCCCCTTTTTATAAGGCTGCTTTTTAAAGTTATATCCTCACTTGTCTTGGGAGTCGCGGGGAAGAGTATTTCAACCTGTCTTTACCCACTAAGTGGAAATTTTGTGCTTTAACCTCCCAGTTTCCTTAAAATAACTGGGAATAAGAGAGGTATTTGGTGATTGTTGGGCCTGTTCTACCACCTTTTTTTTTTTTTTTTTTTTTTTTTTTTTTTTTTTTTTTTTTTTTTTTTTTTTTTTGCTGTACGCGGGCCTCTCACTGCTGTGGCCTCTCCCCTTGCGCAGCACAGGCTCCAGACGCCCAGGCTCAGCGGCCATGGCTCACAGGCCCAGCCGCTTCACGGCATGTGGGATCTTCCCAGACCAGGGCACGAATCTGTGTCCCCTGCATCAGCAGGCGGACTCTCAACCACTGCGCCATCAGGGAAGCCAAGTGCCCTTACTTTTTAAAGATACTTTTTTTAAATTATAAAACTTACATATTACAGGGTAATATGGAATACTAAACATTGACTAATGGAATTACTTTGTCAACAAAACATAAGCAAACTTTTTGTTGAATAAATCAGTAAGTATTTCTATGGAGTGAGAAAAGATTTCAGGTCTTGGATCTTAATCATTGTTAGAAAAATTAAAGTCTCTCTTAAGATTGTTGATTGCTGAAGCTAGAGTGCCTCTTTTCTCTCTCTTTCTCTCTCTCTGCCCCTCCCTCTCCTTCTCCTTCTCTCTCCCCCATGATTTTTTTCAAACACTTCTGAATTAAATTCTTATCCAAAATTTCTACTTCATATACATGTCAGTAATAATGGAGAGTTATTATTGATTGCTAAAACCTCAACTTGCGTTTATTAGTAATATATGTTTTATTTGATGGGATAACGTATTGTTTTTCTTTTTGAATAGGCATATACTGTGAAGACACCAACGGAACTAAAAATTCAGCAAAGAGAAAACAAGAATGTACCCACTGAAGAAAGTAGTAAAAAGAGAAAAATGGTCTTCGATTTTGATATTAATTCGGATAGTTCAGAAACTACTGATCTTTTGGTAAACTTATTACAAATAATCAGCATTTATTATTTGTGTACATTATTATATTTCTACATTATTTCTTGATGTATATGTATAATATATATGCATAGTATCTATTATTGCAATACTGAAAAAAAGTAGAACTCTACTATAACACAGAACCCTCTACTTTTGCAGCATTTTAAAGAAATTAGTGTTAAAAAATCGCCGTAAACTTCAGAAAACATTGACATTTTGAAATATTTGATATAACATAGTTGTCATATGAGAGGACTAACCCTCTTGTTTTCCAGAATAGTGTTATTTCTTTTCCTTTTTTTTTTTTTTTAAAGAAAGGCTAGGTGAATCTCTTTAATCTTGCTGCAGCCAAATTTGTTATTCAAGACCCCTCTTGATTTTGCATATTATATATGTTCTTTTATTTTATACCACTTATTGGTTGAAATCTATATCAAGGTATTGGTTGAAAACTATAACGTTTCTATGATTCTTAATGGGTTAATGTGTTAAAGATGACATGTTTAAGGAGGATAGTTCCCCTAGCAGTTTGTATCACCAATTACTCCCTACTATGAGTATATTAACACATATCAGGATTTTCTTAAGTCATAATAATGATTTATTGAGAATAATTAAACTTATACTCATTTAATTTAAAATCAGATAAACCTTATTACACGAAATGGAGCAATTTACCAAAGATTCTTAATTACAAAATTCCAGTTAAAGTCATTTGTTTCATTATTCCAACTCATAGCTATGAGATCCTTCAAGCTTTTATACTGCTTTGGGATCCTCTACTTTCATTTGTTCTGGAATAATGAGTAGCTGAAGTCTTAAAATTGTAATTATTGAAGTTAACTTATAGAAAATCCCTACTCTAGTATCTCTTTGTTTTGTAGATAATGATTAGCATTTTAATGATTAAAATGTGAACCAGGCACTATTGTAAAGACTTTACACAGATTACTTCAGTTATTTCTTGAAACAATCTCATGCTTTAGAAGTAGAGACAGGGTTGTTATTCTCATTTTACGGATGAGGAAACTGAGTCACACTGTTACGTGGCCTAAGGTCACATAACTAGTAAGGCATGGAGCCAAAATTTGAACACCAACAGTCTAGCTCCATAGCCTGTGTATGTCATTGTACATAATAACTGCCAGTTCAAACTGAAGTCCAGATATTAAAAGAATGTAATGAGAATTATTAGAAAGAGCATGAGGTATGGAATTAGATATTCCAGGACTAGAATTCATACTGTTTTTCTAGTAGTGTGAATTTAGGCTAGTTTCTTAGCTTATCTGAGATTCGGAATGACTCATGATTTCTTTTCATTTTTAAAAGGAGCATCACAACTTTGTAACCCAATAAACATACTACAGTATTTTATTTATTTTTATTTTATTTATTACAGTTTAAACTAGTCTAAAGATATTTCATAGTGGGCTTTATTTGTTATAATTATCACTTGAAGTTAGTTATTTTTGTAATTTTCTTAGCTGTTGCATTTAAATTTTGGTGAACATTCAAATTATTATAAAAAGTAAGATTTAAAAATGTATTGTCTAGAATGACCTTAGAGAAGATAGTGGAGTAGGAAGTGCCAGGAACCCATTTCTCCACCTAGATAACAATGGTCCTGGCAGAAACTGTCTGAAGTAATTTATTTTGGAACTCTAAAGACTATTTGAATGCTTGCAACTTCCAGAGGGAAACTTGACTCCTAAGTTATGGTTAATTTTGGTCAATTTCAGCCTTAAAAGTGGTAATGGCTACCTATCACTCAACCTATAACCATGTGGTAGGGCCATGCTCATGTCTTGTTGGAACCAGGTTGAACAATAAGGACCTTGTCCTCCGAAGATCAAGGTTCAGTGTTCTGACTGCTGATTCTGATCACTGAGGTGCAGGTACAGAGTCTGGCTGCCATTGTTTCAAACCTCACTGGCTGAAGTGTCTTCCAGAAGATTTGTCTTCCAGAAGAACAAACTGCACTTTTATCTCTCTCTTTTTTTCCCTCTTTGGAGAGCCGGATGTTCAAGCATTAGAACATTCAAAATCAATCACATTTACAGGGCATTTAGAAAGCCATGCCCAGGAAAAGACACAGGCTCAGAAAAAAAAACCAGGAAGATCTCAAATTTTCACCACAGGCTTATCCAATGCACAGAGACACTTCTAATAGTAAAACAAAAAGCAAAACAAATCTAAATAAATAAACAGTAAACCCTGGGGAAGGGGAAGAATCTGATTTGCAGATGTATCAAATTATAAGATTAAAGTGGCTAGTTTTCAACAACAACAACAACAAAATCACAAGGCATATGAAGAAAAGGAAAGTATAGCCTATCAAAGGAACAAAACAAATCAACAGAAAATGTCCATGAGGAAGCTCAGATATTGGACTTACTAGACAAAGACTTTAAAAACAACCATCTTAAAGATGTTCAAAGAGCTAAAGGAAGACATAGACAAAAACAGAAAAATGTATGAATAAAATGAGAATAGCAATAAAGAGATAGAAATTATAAAAGGAACCAAGAAGAAATCTTGGAATTGACAGTACAGTAATTGAAATGAAAAGTGTATTAGAGGGATTCAAAAGCAGATATAAGTAAGCAAAAGAAAGAACTGGTAAACTTGAAGATAGGACAATAAACTATTGAGTATAAGCACAGAAAAAAAGGAATGAAGAAACGTGAACAGAGCCTCAGAAACTTGTGGGACACCATCAAAAAATCAATATATGAATTGTGGGAGTCCCAGAAAGAGAAGAGAGAAAGAGGAAGAAAGAATGTTTGAAGAAATGGCTGAAAACTTTTTAGATTTTGATGAAGTAAATGAATCTACAAATCCAAGAAGCTCAATGAATTCTAAGTGGATAGATTCAAATAGACTCACATCTAAACACATTATAATCAAACTGTTGAAAGACAGAGAGAATCTTCTTTTTTAATACATAATATATTTGTTCCCCTGTGCTATACAGTAGGTCCTTGTTGGTTATCCTTTTTAAGTATAGCAGTATGTACATGTCAATAGGAAACTCCCTAACTATCCCTTCCCTCCATCCTTCCCCACCTGGTAAACATAAGCTCATTCAAAAGACAGAGAGAATCTTCAAAGCAGCAAGAGAGAATCAACTCATCATATATGTTACCCTCAATAAGATTATCAGCTGATTTCTCATTAGAAACCTTGGAACCAGAAGTCAGTAGGTTTACATATTCAAAGTGCTGAAAGACAAACATTGTCAGCTAAGCATTTGCTATCTGGCAAAACTGTCCTTCAAAAATGTAGTGAAATTAAGACATTCCCAGATAAACAAAAGCTGAGGGAGTTGTCACTAGACCTTCTCTTCAATAAATGCTGAAGGGAGTTGTTCAGGTTGAAATGAAAGCATGCTAGACGAAGAAATAAAAGATCTCTGATAAAGTTAAATACACTGGAAATTATAAAAGCTGAAATGATTGTAATTTTGGTTTCTAACTTCACTTTTTATTCTCTACATAATTTAAAAGACAAATGCTTAATTATGTTGTTGGGCACACAATATATAAAGATGTAACTTTTGACATCAGTAACAGAAGGAGAATGGAGCTGTATAAGAGCAGTTTGTGTAGGCTATTGAAGTGAAGTTGGTATAAATTCAAATTAGGTTACTATAATGTTTGGTCATTAAATGTAGTCCCCATGGTAACCACAAAAATTATCTATAGAATATACACAAAAGGAAATGGGAAGGGAATCAAAACATTTTACTACCAAAAAAGTCACCTAAACACAAAAGAAGAGAGTAATGGAGGAAATGAGTGACCAAAAACAAACAAACAAAACACCTATAAAGCATATAGAAAATGAATATCAAAAAAGGCAAAAGTTAGTCTCTCCTTATCAGTAGTTACTTAAATGTAAACAGATTATACAATCTAGTAAACAAAAAGAGACTCATGTTAGCTTTAAATTGGTTAAATGTGAAAGGATGGAAAAAGATGTGCAAGTAGTAACCAAAAAGGAGGTGGGATGGCTATACTAATATCTGACAAAATAGACTTTAAATCAAAAAGTACAAGAAACAAATAAGGACATTATATATTAATAAAAGATTCAATGCAGTGGGAAGTTATGAGAGTTTTAATCATTTACACATCTAATAACAAACCCTTAAAATATATGAAGTAAAGCTAATACAAAGAGATGAAGTTAGAAATCAATAAGAGAAGGAAAATTAGAAAATTCACAAACTTGTGGAAATTAACACACTTCTAACCAACCAATGGATCAGAGAAGAAATCACAAGGGAAATTTGACTTAGAGATGTATGAAAATGAAAAATACAATACACCAAAACTTACGTAAGATAGAAAAAACAGTGCTCTAAGGGAAATGTAATAGCTGTAAATTCCTACATTGAAAAAGAAAGAAATCAATAAACTAACTTTATACCTTAAGGAACTAGAAAAAGAAGATCAAACTAAACCCAAAGCTGACAGAGGAAGGAAATAATAAGGTTAGAGTGGAGATAAACAAATTAGAGAAAAGGAAACAACAGAAAATCAATGAAGCCAAAATTTGGTTCTTTGAAAAGATCAATTAAATTGACAAACCGTTAGCTAGACTGACAAAAGCAAATACCTAAAGTCAGAAATATAATTGGAGATGTTATTACCAACATTTTAGAGATAGATAATACTGTGAATAATTATATGCCAACAAATTAGATAACCTAGAAGAAATATACAAATAGAAAAACTACTTGAAATACACAAATTACCTAAATCTGCTCAAGAAGAAACAGAAAACCTTATCAGAGCTGAGTTAGTAATCCAAAACTCCCAACAAAGAAAAGTCCTCGACCAGATAGCTTTATTGATGGATTCTACCAAATATTTAAAGACTTAACACCAATCCTTCTCAAAGTCTTCCAAAAAATTGAAGGGAGAACACTTTGTAACTCATTCAATAAGGCCAGCATTACCTTGATACCAAAGCCAGATGAAGGCATCACAAGAAAGGAAAATTGTAGACCATTATTCTTTCTGAATGTAGATGCAAAAATCCTCAACAAAATATTAGCAAATCAAATCCAACAGCATAGTAAGTGGATCATTTACCATGACCAAAAGAGACTTATCCAAGAAATGCCAGAGTGGTTCAATATAAGAAAATCAATATAATACACCACATTAATAGAACGAAGGAAAAAAATTGCAAATGATCATCTCAATTGACATGATAAAAATTCATAAAGCTAGGACAGAGGGAAAATTCCTCAACATGATAAAGGGTATGAATGAAAACCAAAGCTAACATCATACTCAATGGTGAAAGACTGAAAGCTTTCCCCCTAAGATTTAAGACAAGGATGCCCACTTTCACCAATGTTAGTCAGCATTGTACTAGAAGTTCTAGCCATGGCTTTTAACTATTAGACAAATACAAAAAACAAAAATAAAAGGCATGCAAATGTTAAAAAGAGGTAAAACTGCCTCTGATTTGCAGGTGACATGATCATATCTATACATGGAAAATCACAAAGCCTAAACAAGAAAGCTTCTAGACCTAATAGATAAATTCAGCAATGTTGAAAGGTATAAGATCAACATATGAAAATCAGTTATGTTTCTATACACCAACAATGAATAATCCAAAAAGGAAATTAAGAAAACAATTTTATTTACTATACCATTAAAAAGAATTAAATACTTAAGAACAAATCTAGCCAAGAAAGTAAAATACTCATACACTGAAAATTACAAAACATTGCTGACTTAAAAATAAAGAAAAAAAATTCTGTGTTCATGGATAGGAAGACTTAACATTGTTAAGATGTCAATACTACCAAAAGCAGTGTACATATTTAACATGTTCCCTATTAAATTTCCAACAGCTTTTTTGGCAGAAATGGAAAATTCGATACATTTATACAGATTTGCAAGGGGCCCCAGATAGCTAAAGCAATCTTGAAAAAGAAAGACAACATTGGAGGACTCAGTTCTTGACTTTGAAACTTATTACAAAGCTAGTAATTGAAATAGTCTAGTACCGGCATAAAGACAAATATATACACCGATGTAATAAAAAACAGAGCCCAGAAATAAATCTTCACATATATAATCAATTGAGTTTTGACAAGAGTGCCAAGATCATTCAGTGGGGAAAGGACAGTTTTTTCAACAAATGGTACTAGGAAAACTGGATGTCCACATGCAAGAAAATGAAATTGGACTCTTACCTTACACCATATACAAAAACTGACTCAGAATGAATCAAAGACCTAATTGTAAGGACTAAAACTATGAAACTCTTAGAAGAACATTGGGAAAATCTTCATGACATTGAATGGCAAGGACTTCATGGATATGATGACACCAAAGCACAGGCAAAAAAGAGAAAAAATAGGTAAATTGGACTTCATCAAAATTAAGGACTTAAATGCATCAAAGGACTCTATTAAGAAAGTGAAAAGGTTAAAGATTGGGAGAAAATATTTGCAAATCATATATCTGACAAGAGATTAATATCCAGAATACATAAGGAACTCCTGTAACTCAATGACAAAAAACAGGCCAGTCGAAAAATGGGCAAAGGACTTGACCAGACATTTCTCCAAAGGAGATATACAAGTGCCCAATAAGCACATAAAAGATGAATGCAACAGAGTTATAAGGACAGACAAGTTTTTGTTGTTTTAAATTAGGTTAATTTATTCTTTTTATATAGGCAGCCATTAATGAACATCCAGTTACCATGCAGTAAGCAAAATTTTAATGTTAGTTTACAGTATGATTTTTAAAATAATTTATCTTTTCTAAGTTGGTCAGTTGGTGCATACTGACTTGAGTGTATCTGAAAGGTCAGCTCTTTGTGACTAAGTGAATTCTGCTGAAATCTTATAATTCATGAAAATGGCTGAATATTTTCATCCATGAAGCTTCTGAAATTTGTGTTAAGTGTGACTTTAATGAGCAGGAAAAGATAATGTGAACTGATTGCTTACCTGACTAAATTTATGTAGCATATTCATTAAGGAAATGGATTCTGGAGCCAGCCTACCTGGATTTGAATCCTGGCTCCACCTATTACTAGCTGTATAGTCTTGGGCAGGTTACTTAATATTTGTGTGTCTCAGTTCTTCACCTTTAAAATGGGGATAATAATAATATTTGTGTGTCATAAAAATGTTGTGAGGATTAAAACTAATTAAAATATGCAAAGTGCTTAAAGTAGTGCCTGACATAAAGAAAATACTGAATAAGTGTTAGCTATTATTATTTGGGAAAATATTCATAAATTGATAATTGACAACATTTATAATTTTTATAGGATTATGAATGCTTATTATAAGGCCTAAGTGTATTTAAATAAGTAGGTTGGGAGAAGGGGTGGGGAAAGTGATAGTATGAAGACTCTGAAACTGAAATAGAAATCAGTAGAAAAACACTATTCATACACATCTTGTATTCCACATAACCTTTTAGGTATATAGTTAGTAGAATCAAAATCTAGGTCCTTGTTTGACAGATTGAAGATTTATTTTGTCATTGTCTTCTTTCTTCAGTCTTTTTAATTTTTTTTCCTCTTCTTTTCCTTTCCCCTCTCTCCTCTTTTATTCTCCCTCCTTGTACTCCTCCATCTTCTCATATGTGGGATGTAGACAAAAATTTAATAATATAATATTAATGGTGGCAGCCTCCAAATTATATTTTTATATTTCTCTTTAAGAGCATGGTTTCAGAGGAAGAGACATTGAAAAAACTATACAAGAAGAATAATCCACCAATTTCTCAATTTTGTGTCAGAACACCCAAAAAGGTAGTTTTAAAATTTTATTTCAGAAAGCAAATTTCAAAAGATGGATTTAATTCTTTTTTTTTTTTTTAGTTAAACATATTATGATTTTATTTATTTTCTATTCAGACTCCTTCATCTCTAACAACCACTGGATGTACGCGGAAGCTTGGAGCTATGAGGAAAATGCAGGAGGACCCTTGGGCTATAATTGCTAAAATGGATAGGAAACAAAAACTAAAGGAAGCAGAAAAGCTATTTGTTTAATTTCAGAAAATCAGTGTGATTAAGAAGCCTAAATAACAGCAAATTTACAGTTAATTTTTTATTCTTATTTTCTACAGAGCCAAACATTTTCTGATATTGAGACTTTTTTGATATTTTCATAAATAATTTGTTTCTTTATATTTTAATATTTTGGCCTAAATGGGAGATAACCACATGTTACTTAAAAACTTGTAATTCTATTCAGTTAATTAGGTGATTATATTTTGGTTTTACCTTTTCTTGTATTCGAAAGCTGTTTTGACTAAGTTTTCACACCTGTAAAGTTGTCCGTTGAACACTAGGAATACATTACTGAGATTTACTATTTATTCTTTACTATTAAAATATTTTAGATGCAAATACTTCTCATTGATTCTGTGAGGTCATCTGAACAGCTAATTATTATAATTTTGCTAATATTATTTATTTTTAAAATTTTGAGGACATTTAAGTTTCACAGTTCTGAAGCAGCTTTATCTATTTATAAAATTGACAAATGGCTTTAAGTTGTGGGAAAAAAGGCTCCACCAGTATGACTATCTAAAATACTTCATTTATTCAACATTCATTTGGCAAATATTTATTGAATATCTGCTAAGAATTAAGCACAGTTCTAGATACTGGGGATATAAGAATGAATGAAACAAAAATAAGCCCTCTCTTCTTCTAGAGCTTACATTTTAATGGGGAAAATAGACAATAAATAAACTATATAAGCAAACACATAGTATATTAGTTAATGATAATTGCTAAGGAGAAATAAAACAGGTAAGAGTATTAGGGAGTATTGAAGAGGGTTGAAATTTTATGTAGAGTGGCCCTCAGCACAATGACATTTGAAGATCTGATGAATAACTAGTAAGCCTGTGGCTATCTTGAGGAGAACATTCCTGATAAAAAGAACAAAAAGTATAAAGGCCCAGAGGTGGAGGTGTGCTTAGTGTATCTGGGAAACAGCAAGGAGGCCAGTGTGGGTAGAGGATAATGATCAAAAGAAGAGTATAAGGAGAAAAGGCCTGGTATTTAACAGGATAGGGAGTTTGGGTGGGCAGATTATGTAATGCTTATAGGCTACTGTAAGAACTTTGGCTTTTACTCTGAATAAGATGTGAAATTAGCAGATATTTCTGAGCAAAGAAAACTGTGATCTGACTCATGTTTTAAAATAAGGATCTTTCTGACTGCTATATTGAGAACAGATTTTGAAAAGAGGACAAAAGGTTAAAACAGGAAAACAGGTTATTTTAATAATACATATGAGAGATGGTAGTGGCTTGAACAAAGCTGAGAGCAGTAGAGGAGTAAAGAGGTCAACTTCTGGATCTATTTTTAAGATTAGATGTGGGATGTGATCCAAAAAAAAGAAAAGGCCAAGGATAATGTCAATATTTTTGGCCTGAGCAATGTAATTTTGGACATATTAGGTCTAAAATGTATATTAGACATCCAAACAGAGAGGGTAAGTAGGCTTAGAGACAGATCCAGGAGAGTGATATAAATTTGGGAGTCAACAGCATATTTAAAGCTATCAGAGTGGATGAGAACATGTACAATTATGAGAGTGACTGTACCTAGAAAAGAGAAGAGATCAGAGATGAGAAGGAACCATAAAAGGTTTAGCAAGGGTAATACTGAACTCTAGCAAGAAGGTATTTCAAAGAAGAAGGGAGTGATAAATTGTGTTAAATACTGCTGAGAGATAAAATTGATTAATGTGTTATTAATGGGGAGGTCTTTGGTGATCTTAACAATGGCAGTTTCAGTGAAGTGGAGTTCGATTGGAGGGGGTGGTTAAGGAAAGAATGGAAGGAAAAAAGTGGAGACAGCTATCTTCATTAAGAGTAAGAAAACTAAGAAGTTATACCTTAAAAGGGAAGAAGATAAATGAAATAGCTACTTGAAATGGAAGTGGGTCAAGAGAAGATTCTTTTTTAAAAGATGTAAGAATTAATAGCAAGTTTAAATAATTAAGGAAAGATTCAGGATGATGGGAAATGATGATGCCGAAGAGAAAGAAGATTTTTTTTTTTTAAGTGGAATGTCCTATAATAGGCAAGAGGAATGGAATCTGGTGGAAGATTAAAGTGCTGGGCCTTAGCTAGGAGAACAGACAATTCTACCATAGTAACAAGGGAAAAGGAAACATATATATCACAACATGATGGTGGATGGGAGTTTGTAGAACTTTTGGTTTCATAGCTTCAATTTTCTTAAGTGAAGTGAGAATTAAGATCATCCACTGAGAATGAAGGTGGAGGGGGAAGTGTTGCAAGTTGTGAAGAGAAGAGTAGGTATGAAAGACTCATCTAATAAAGTAAGGGAGTGAATGAACTTTATAAAAACAATTGGCAAATGGATAAAAATAGTCTTAGAGTTGTCTATAACAATTTTGGTATAGTAGAATTTTTATTTCCTTATGGTGGGGAAATGTGTTTGTAGGAAAGGCTACCCAAGAAAAAATGGAAATGCTGTATAACATTATGGAAATTATGTTCCTCCTTCAATTTGTGTGCCTATAACTGTACTCTGAAAACTGGATATAGTCTTAGGATTTCTAGCTTTTGATCTAGAAACTTTAATTGGAACTTTATAATTAGTCTCTTGAGCAAGTATTTTCTTTGGAGGATTATTAGTCTTGATGACATGATATTTCACATTTGAAGCTACTATATATTTTCAAGCATTTTAAAATAAAAGAAGACTTGTATATTAGTTAACACTAGCTTCTCTGGCTAATCATCAACTTCTCACTTAAATGCTACTATTTAGTAAGCAGCATTTCTCCAGGTGGTGATTTAGGAACCCTGGCTCCTTCCAACTTCTAGCTCTGCCATCTTCAACAACTTGCTTCCAAGGTTGTTGCAAAAGGGGAAATACCATGGAGGATCCATGTGGGAAGTTTTTAATGACCCAGGTCTGAAATAGATGTACAATCACTTCCACCCACATTCTACTTTCTGGAACCAAATCACATGGCCACACCTAATTTCAAGACAGACTGTGATCCATTTCTAGTTATGTCTCAGGAGATCAGGAAAGGGGGTCAGGTGAACAACTAGCCAGTCTGTCACAATTAGTTTGCACTCTTTAAATTTTCAAATATTGTTCTTCCTTGCTTTTAATTTAAAAAGATGAGTTAGGCTCTTCAGTTTTGAAAGATTGCTTCTTGCTGTTTTTGAACATGCTGGGCATGCTTCTTTCTCGGAAACTTCCCCCTCTCTCCAGTACTTCTGATTCCCCTTACACTACTCTTTTTCTCCCCATGGCACATATAATCTTCTAACGCACTATATACCTCACTTAGTATGTTTATTATTCATTGTCTTCACTCACTAGAATGTAAACTTCACAAAGACAGGGATTTTTGTCTGCTTTGTTTATTGATGCATCCTGAGTACTTAGAACAGTGCCTGGCCCATTGTAGGTACTCAGTATTTGTTGAATTGATTAAATAAAAATTTAATATATATTTAAGAAAAACTTACATATACCATACTGATGATTCTTATAGTAAGACTTCAGAATCAAAATGTTTAATACATGATTTAAAAATAAGATCAGAAATTAATACAACATTGTAAAGCAACTATACTCCAATAAAAATTAATTTAAAAAATAAAAATAAGATCAAATATTGGAAATTAGAAAAACATAAAATTTCCATAAAATTTCCTAAAATTTCCTATATTGTTATAGTAGCCTATATTTGTGTCTTCTGTTTTGAGATTTGGAGAGTCAGTTTTGACAACCAAATCCAGAATAAAACTTAAGACTAATGCTATTGTTTTTACTTTGAGGCAACTCCTGAAAAACACCAGAGTAAGAAAAATAATTTATCATTCTAAGTTTAGGGATCAGTGCACTCATTTGTGGTAACCTCATCAAAAAAAAAAAAAAACCCTCACAAAAAATATCATAAAAATAATTTTAACTAGCATTAATGAACAATTGGAAAATTTATAATTTAATTATTATGAAAATTTTATAGGCTAATTACATAATGATTAATACCTTTTTAAAGCATATTAATTTAAACTGAGTGCAGTTTAGATATTATTATAAGAAGAAGCTTTTTGTCATAACCCATTTTTAGGTTGTTAGGAAATACTTCCTGCCCTTTAGTCACTGTTTGAAGGAGTGACAGTATGATCCATGAGTTTAGGAAAATTGGGCATAGGGGACCGAGCCTTCTCTACTCTTTTCATCATGAAGCTTCTTGCAGGAGGCATGTGATCTGCTCCATGCTGTATGTTTTACAGAGCAGGCTTTGCGCTGCAGATGAAATGTCCTCTAATGAGGGGATAAATTCAGTAGAGCGTTATCAAATCCCAGTAATTTGATTAAATAGGCTGGATACTTTGAGAAAAAAATAGAGTAGAATTTGGGGCTTCTCTGGCACCCCCCCTGCCAGTGCAGGGGACACGGGTTCGAGCCCTGGTCCGGGAAGATCCCACGTGCCATGGAGCAACAAAGCCCGTGTGCCACAACTCCTGAGCCTGCGCTCTAGAGCCCACGAGCCATAACTACTGAAGCCTGCGTGCCTAGAGCCCGTGCTCTGCACAAGAGAAGCCACCGCAAGAGAAGCCTGTGCACCGCAAAGAGTAGCCCCCACTTGCCGCAAATAGAGAAAACCTGCGCACAGCAACAAAGACCCAACAGAGCCAAAAATAAATAAACTAATTTTTTTAAAAAGCTTTAAAAAAAATAGAGTGGAGTTTGGGGGAGCTAAATAACATACTAATATTGAAACTCTGATGTGGCTTTGGTGGTCCTGTTCTGGATCATAGCCCCATAGGAATTTTCACTTGGTGAGTCATTATAGCCTATGTAGCTTTGCTTTTACATGAATTACTGTTTTTTAGAAATAGGTTGCAGGTTCTGGATCTTAACTGAATGATTTGTAAGCTTTGTCTGAAGCAAAAATGAGTACTTCAGTTTGTCTACAGGCCATAGGCTTCAGCAGAAGCATGGGCTGAGGGAGCCTCAACCAAATTTGGGCTGTAAAAAGAGCATATGTTAGCCGCACTAGACTGAGCAAGGGTGTGGGGCTCAGGGGTTATATTTTGGATATATTTTGATAGTAGAACCAAGCAGATGTGCTGACAGAACTGACAGATTGGCTGGAGGTAAGGATGTGGTGAAAGAAAGAAAATGTGTAAGGTTGGGTTTTTCAAGTTCTGTTTGGGGCTATGTAATATTTGAGATAGCTTAGATATCTAAGTGGAGATGTTGAGAAGGTCATTGGACAAATGAATCTGGAGTTTTCCAGAAGGGTCAGTATTTACTAATCATTGGCATAAACATGCCATTTAAAGCACAGGATTGAATGCACTCTCTTAACAGGTAGTGAGTGTGTAGTT